CTGGGATTAAAGGCGTGCGCCACCACCGCCCGGCTCAAACTGTAGTTGTTAACCTAGATGCTTCTGTATCAGAATGCTTCTACAATAATAAATGAATATTCTGGCAGTTGAAATAACACAAAAATTTTAAGGTTTCTTTCCTCCAAATTATCTATCTTTATTATTGAGGCAAAGTCTAGCTGGCCTCAGATCCTCCTGTCTCAATCTCCCAAGTCCTGGGATTCTAGTCATGTGACTTCATATCTGGCTTTGTTTTTTTTTTTTTTTTTTTGTTTTCTTTGAGATGGGGATTCAGGTTACTGGAGACTGGCCTTGAACTGCAGGTTGCAAGAATGTACTTTTTCTTCTGATCTTTCTGAGTTGGGATCACAGGCGTGATCATCATGCGGGTTTCTGGAGTGCTGGGAATTGGACTCAGGACTGCTTGTGTTCTACCAACTGAGCTTCATGCCAGCCCCAAGTTTCTGTTTTTTTGTTTTTTAAGCAAGAAATGGCTAATGGGACTTTGGAATCACAGTGTACCTTTCAAACAGGTTCTAGAAGTCCCTTGCCTAGTGAAATTGATTCGTTTTTGAGAATGAGTTTCACTATATAGCTCTGGCTGACTTCAAACTCAACAGATCTGTCCACTTCTGCCTCCCGAGCTGCCTGGGATCCAAGGTGTATGTCACCTGTCTTCTGAAACCTATTATTTGCCACAGTGGGGTTTTTTTCTTTGGAGTGTATGAAAGTGGGGAGACAGGCCCACTATGTGTATCCTAGGCCAGTCTTGAACTCAATATCCCTTTGTTTTAGCCACCAGATTGTTTAAGATTGTGTAGGAGTCAGACCCAGCTTTTGTGTTTGTTTCCTCTTAATGGGTGGTGGTGGTGGTGCACACTTTTAATCCCAGCACTTGGGAGGCAGAGGCAGGGGGATCTCTCTAAGTTCAAGGCTCAGCCTGGTCTACCAGAGCTAGTTCCAGGACAGGCTCCAAAGCTACAGAGAAACCCTGTCTCGAAAAACAAATTAAGAGAGGCTCTTTTTACTCTCTTACATTACTCCTTTTTGATCCAGGCTGGCCTCAAACTCTAGCCCACCTGCTTCCCCCTTCCCTAGTGCTGAGATGAAAGGTTTGCACCATCAAGCCTTATTTTTCTCCTTTTTGAGATAGAATATTTATTGCAATGTTCTTTAAGTAGTATTAACTCAGCTCTCCAAATACCTGGGGTTGCAGATTTAACCCTACTCTGTGTCAAATATTTAGGTTTTTTTTCTCCTTTCTCCTTTAGAATTTTTTCTTAGGTAATGGGTGCTATATACATTTGGATGGTTTTGTAAAGATAATCCTGCCTAGGTACATTTAATTTGCTTACTGATACTATACCATTTACTATGGTACTTGGGTGTCTTTAAGAGAGAGATAGGTACTATAGGGAGTGTAAAGAAGACTAGATCATGATGCTTCCTCACTAGGGATTTAAAATATCATCTGAGACACATGCTATACACATCAGCCAAGTGTGGTGATACACACACCTTTAATCCCAACTTTGAGGAGGCCAAAGCAGGCAGGCAGATCTCTGGATACGTAGTGAGATCTTGTCTCAAAGTGGGGGGTGGTGCTGGAGAGATGAGTTTGTGGTTTAGGATACTTCTTGCTCTTGCAGAGGAACTGCATTTGTTCTTACTTTTTTTTCCTTTTCATTTCTTTTTTCTTTTTTTTTGTGCTGGGAATTAAACTTGGGACGTCAAATACAGAGCACCTTACAACTCAGCTGTATTCCCAGCCATTTGGTTTTAGTTTTAGGATTTATTTCAATTGTCAGTTTGTGGGTATGTGCACATGTATGTGGGTACCTGTAGGGAGTAGAGGCCTCAGGTCTCTGGAGTTGGGTCTGACTTGGGTGCTAGGAACTGAACTTAGGTTTTCTGCAAGTGTAGTCTGTGCTCTTAACAACTCAGCCATCTCCAACCTTTTATTTTCCCTTCTAAAATAAAGAGGTATAGACTTGAGGTTTTTGTAGGTTTTTGTTTTTAAACATAGTCTCATGTAGCCCAGCCCTGCCGTATACTCTAGGTACCTAAGGATGACTTTTGAATTTCTGCCTCCACCTACCTTAGTGCTGGTGGAATTGCACAGTGTACACTAGCAGTGGGACTCATACTAGACCTTGAACCCAGAACTTTGTGCATGCTAGGTAAACATTCTGCTGGCTGGGGTTTATCCACAGGCTTTTTTTTTTTAATGCTTCATTTGTATGTGTTTTGCGTGCGTGCGTGTGTGTGTGTGTGTGTGTGTGTGTGTGTGTGTGAATGTCAGGGCAAGTCATAAGAGTCAGGTTTCCCTATGTCCATCCCTTGTATCAAACTGAGGCTATCAGTCTTAGCACCAAGTTATCTTTTCCACCCTGTTCTTTTTTGAGACAGTTTGTGAATGCCTGCGTCCATCTCCCCCGTGCTGGGATTGTAGGCTTATACCACCACCACCACACTGACAAGCACTTCCATCTTTTGTTTTGGGGAGAAATTCTTGGAAGTGCATTGCCTTTTTGTTTCCTATTGTTTGTTACATGTTGCACCATCTCATAATGTCTCAGATTTACAAAGAATGGATTTCACAGAATGTTAGTGTCAGAAAAGGCATGTAATCACATAAAACTAAACACTTAAGTGAGCTGTGACTCAGCCATGTTTTCTTTAGCCTCATGGGATTGCAAATTTAAGCCATCACTTCCAGCTGTGTCTCTAACATCATTTTAGATACTTTTTTTTTAAATTTATCTATTTATTATGTGTACAACATTCTGCTTCCCACACACTAGAAGAGGGCGCCATCATGTGGTTGCTGGGAATTGAACTCAGGACCTCTGGAAGAGCAGTCAGTGCTCTTAACCTCTGAGCCATCTCTCCAGCCCCCACTTTAGATACTTTTTTTTTAAATATTTATTTATTTATTATGTATACAATATTCTGTCTGTGTGTATGTCTTCAGGCCACAAGAGGGCACCAGACCTCATTACAGATGGTTGTGAGCCACCATGTGGTTGCTGGGAATTGAACTCAGAACCTTTGGAAGAGCGGGCAATGCTCTTAACCACTGAGCCATCTCTCCAGCCCCCCATTTTAGATACTTTTAATGAAAGGTTTTTAAAACGTTCTATAGAGTTCAGTCCTTAAGCTTTCAGAAATTGCACTGTAGTTGCCCAAGTTGATACCTGAGTTAGGGTAGGTTAGACCCGATACAGTTGAAATGAGGCTAGTTATGTGTGTAATTCTACTTCTTGCTGAGTTCTTATTTGTTTTGTTTTTTGAGACAGGGTTTCTCTGTCCCTGGCTGTTCTGGAACTCTCTGTAGACCAGACTGGCCTCGGACTCAGAGAGATCTGCCTGCCTCTGCCTCCTTCTCCCAGGTGCTGGGATTAAAGACATGCCACCATGTGCGGCCCTACTGAGTTCTTGTGCTTTGTTATATTATAGTCTGCAATTCTAGGGTGTAGGATCTTGGTAATTGAAACAATTTCCAACAAGATGTGGTATTCTTTTTCTTCTGTTGTCTCTGCATTTGCAGGTAACGTGTATAGACTCAGACTCATTTGAATCCCAGGCAGCTTTTTCTTTGTTTTATTTTGTTGTGGGGTCACATGTAAGCTCACACTCTTCCACTGTGCTACATTCAGCTCTTGTGAATATAGCCGTCAGTTCAGTGGGGTGTGGAGTCTGTGGAACTGTCTCCACTGCTGCTTCTCCCTGTGCTCTTCATATAGCTATGGCTCAAGGGTTGGAAGAGTGCTCTGTGAGACAGACCAACCACATTTACACCCAAGAAATAGTTATCTTCCTTTGGCATGCCAAAAAGTAACCTTCATTGTCCTGCTCGGAGATCAAGGGAATAGACAAATGGACTCTGGCAGAATTAATATGCGGATGGAAGGAGGGCTCTCCAAATAACCCTTTCCACCCCTTCATCTCCAGTGCAATTTACAATTGGACTAGGGGGCTGGAAAGACTCAGATTCTTCCAGAGATCCTGAGTTCAATTCCCGGGAACCACGTGGTGGTGGTGACTCACAGCCATCTGTAATGAGACCTGGTGCCCTCTTTTGGCCTGCAGGCAGACATGCAGACAGAACACTGTACATAATAAAAAATCTTTTTAAAAAGAGCCAGAGCCAGGCGGTGGTGGCTTATGCCTTTAATCACAGCACTTGGGCGGCAGAGGCAGGTGGATATCTGAGTTCGACGCCATCCTGGTCTACAAGAGCTAGTTCCGGGACAGGCTCCAAAGCTACAGAGAAACCCTGTCTTGAAGAACAGAAGAACAGAACAGAACGAATGAATGAGCGAACGAATGGAAGGAAGAAAGAAAGGATTGTACTAGGAACTGGGAAGGGCTGGTAGGGTCTCAGTTCACACATGTAGCAAATGCTCAGGTGATGGTGCTGCTGTTGCTGTTGTTGAGAAACTGCCTGCCTAGAATCCCTTAAAGTTGCTGGCCTATTTGCTTGTTTTCACATGTGGCTTCTAATGAATTAAAATTGTTGCCTTGACAAAAGTAAAATATAAGCTGTTGCAGCCTGTTGGTTCCTTCTCTTTGATGTGCTTTGCAGATCATCGTGGTTAGGAGCTGAAGTTAGTGGGCACTGCGAAATCGAGGACAGTGGTCAGACTTGACCTTCAGTGAACAAGATAAATATTTAAAATCTTCAAGTTGGGGAGCTGGGAAGACAGTTCAGTCAGTGATAGTGTTTGTGTGTTTGAGACCCTAGTTCACTCCCCCCTACCCCCCCCCCCCCAAAAAAGGAACCCTGTATAAACATCCAACTTTTAGGGGCAGGTAGGTACCTTGATCCCTATGCTGCATCTGTGAACCCAAATGGGTATTCCTGGCCACCCGGCCTAGACTGACCTCATTTGTTAGCTAAATAGTTGTGAGCATGCCGGGAGAATGTGGTGGTAATGGATTCTTTTGAGAGTTGGCTTTAGTCTTCTAATCTAGTTTTCTGGTTCTTTGTCTTACAGATATTTTATGCATGGGGTTTGTAAGGAAGGAGATAACTGTCGATACTCGCATGACCTTTCCGACAGCCCGTATGGTGCAGTGTGCAAGTATTTTCAAAGAGGGTGCTGTGTGTACGGAGACCGCTGCAGGTAAGGCTTCTGTTCAAGGGTGGGCTGAGGAAGAAATGAAATGAAACTAAATACATAATCCTAGTAGTAGCTTTGTATATATAATTCTAGTAGCATTATACAGAGCACTCTTAAAAATGCTTATGCTTTGAAAAGTCCTTATTGGATCAGCTGTGGTGGCACATGCCTATAAACCTGCTCCTGGAGACTGGAGTTGGAGAAAAGCAAGTTTGAGGCTACCTAGGGCTGCAGAGTCCAACCTTGACTCTGAAGGGAAAATGGACTGAGGTTATAGTAAGTGGTAGTGTGACAAAGGTTTTGTTCAGGCCCTGGCTACTGCTGAAGAAGACCAATAACATTCCTAGGAATGTTAGCACACGTACAGAAGTCAATCTAGGAACTGCATCACATGTTAAAGTATGTTTGGAATACGGTTGTTAAGTTTAATCGATACTCATGGAGCAAAGTCTCCAAACTTAATCTCTTAAGTGTGGCAAAGGTGAATTTGTATGTGTTGGTCTATGCCTATTATTAATCCCAAGAAATAGGAAACTAAGACAGGATTCTCATGGCCAGTTTGGACTGGAGTGCAAAAAACTCTCTGGTAAAACCCAAGAAACCAAAAATTAAAGCACAGGCATTGGATGTCTTGTGAGTTTGAGGCCAGCTTGGTTTACATAGTAAGTTTCTAGGCCAACCAGGACTGCACGGTGAGACCCTGTCACAAAAACTAGGAGGAAAACAGACAAAGGTTGGTGTGAGGTTTACTACCGGGGCTAGTTCATTTAGTTGTCCTCTCCTAGTGTGGATTGTGAGTGAGATGGGTCTGGGCATTTGGTGTACTCCACTAGTTCCTTTCACACCCTTTGAAGTTCTGGGGATAAAGCCCAGGGCCTCATTATTCACAGCCAACCGTTGGTCTAAAACTATTGAACAGCCTAAGCTCAGGAAACAACATAAGCTTAGGGAGGAGCGCTCCAGGCAGTGCTTTCCCGGAATACCTCTAAAGTATTTGCACACCAACAGGGATTCGGTACTAAGCAATCTCTGCCATTAGGCATGGTATCGCTGTCATAAGCCTGGCACCTGATCTGTTACCATAGTGGGTTCTGTGCAGAAACTGAATAAAGCAGATCTTCCTAGGTTAGAAGGCATCACATGTATTATTTGTCTCCTGCTGTTAATAACTCAGTGGTAGCAAGTTAATACATTTATTGTCATCTCTGGAGGCCTGCAATCCTGTTAAAAGGAGGGTATGTCAGGATGTCACCCTGGGTTGAAGGAGCAGTTCTTTGCGGGAAAGTTTCTTTGGATCTTATAGACAAGGCTCACTGTGGGGAGGTTTGGCCCTCAGTGGCTTGGGGAGGGGAATAGAATATTGAGGATAGCAGAGAGCTATAGGGAGTAGACCATGGGACAGAATGAGGGAACGGTGTGGCTAAGCTGAAGTACTCTCTACTCACATGGAGATCAGAAGACAACTTAGAAAATCCTCCTTCCATCATGTTGGTTCCAGAAATCAAACTCAGGTCATCGGGCTTAGTGGTAGGTAGGTGCCTTTATCCACTGAGTCATCTTGCCAGTCTCATTGAAGTTCTTTATATAAGAAGTTAAACTATATTGATACAGAATATGGAAGAATCCGCTGTTTTCTCAGCATTTTTTCATCACTTAACACTCTGAAAGAACCAGCAATTTTGTCACATCCTCTTGTAATTTAGTAGCTGTAATAACAGACTCTCCCAGGGGCTCATGATTCTAGCAGATGTGAGGATCTTTATAGGCTGGATTGGCAGACTTTATCTACAGGAGGGAAAGAATGTACAGTGTTTGACTCAAGGTGTGTGGTTTCTCAAGCAAAAACCAGCCATAGATAACATAAACTAATGGATACAGCAATGTTTCAATTTGCAGCTTTATTTTGGGTGACTACAATTTTAATTTTATGCAGCTTACATTGTGTTAAGTAGTATGTCTTGAGCTGGGCAGAGTGCTGCACACCTTTAATTCCAGCACTCTGGAGGGCGAGGCAGGAGAATAGATCGCTTGAATTCTAGGCAAGCTTGATATACAAAGCAAGTACCAGGACAGCTGGAGCTACACAGAAACACTGTCTTGAAAAACCAGAACAAATGAAAAAAAGGAGAAAGAAAAAGGATAGGATAGAAAAGAAAAAATACGTCTTTTAAAACCATTTAAAAATGTCAAAGCCACCAGTCATGGTTTTATACGACAATACATTGTATTGAGTGATGTCTTTTTTTTTTTTTTTTTTCGAGACAGGGTTTCTCTGTGGTTTTGGAGCCTGTCCTGGAACTAGCTCTGTAGACCAGGCTGGTCTCGAACTCACAGAGATCCGCCTGCCTCTGCCTCCCAAGTGCTGGGATTAAAGGCGTGCGCCACCATCGCCCGGCTTGAGTGATGTCTTGAGTTGGGTATACTGGTGTACACCTTTAATCATAGCACTCTGGATTCAGAGGCAGGTGAATAGATCTCTTCAGGCATGAGACCAATCTGGTCTACACAGTGAGTTCAAGGACATCCAGGGCTATATAATGAGATGCCAAAGAAACCAAACCAAAATAAAACACAAAACCAGCAGCACTTAGGAGGCAAAGACAAACTGATCTCTGAGTGAATTCCAGGACAGTCAGAGGTATATATAAAGAGAAACTCTGTCTTGAAAAACCGAAACAGGCCTGGCGGTGGTGGTGTACACCTTTAATCCCAGCACTTGGGAGGCAGAGGTAGGCGGATCTCTGAGTTTGAGGCCTACCTACCTGGTCTACAAGAGCTAGATCCGGGACAGGCTCCAAAACTACAGAGAAACCCTGTCTCAAACCCCCCTCCCCGCAAAAAAAAACCCAATTGTCAAAGCCATTCTTCCTGGTTGTGATTATATTTACTGTGTCAGTCCGTGTTCTTCAAACATTCCCTGCATGCACTGTACTTTTTACCTTTTTTTTTTTAAATATTTATTTATTTATTATGTATACAATATTCTGTCTGTGTGCATGTCTGCAGGCCAGAAGAGGGCATCAGACCTCTTTAGAGATGGTTGTGAGCCACCATGTGGTTGCCGGGAATTGAACTCAGGACCTTTGGAAGAGCAGGCAATGCTCTTAACCACTGAGCCATCTCTCCAGCCCCCTACTTTTTACCTTTTTAAAACAAGATTTATTTATTTATTTATTTATGTATACAGTGTTCTGCCAGCATATATGCTTGCAGGCCAGGAGAGGGCACCAGACTCCATTACAGATGGCTGTGAGCCACCATGTGGTTGCTGGGAATTGAACTCAGGACCTTTGAAAGAGCAGGCAGTGCTCTTAACCACTGAGCTATTTCTGCAGCCCCCATCTTTTTTTTTTTTTTAATTTAGTTTATTCTGCTTGTCTGAATGTCTCTGCGCCATTTGTCTGCCTGGTTCCATGGAGCCATCCTGCTGGCCTTGGCTTTTCTTTCTTTGCTCTTTATTTATCCTTCCTGGTATCTACTCAGTTTTTACTTCAGAGCATATTCTATGCAGATCTATAAGGGAATCAGTATCTCATATTACTTTGGAGACAGTCTTGACTGGCAGTTTGTTCTGTAGACCAGGTTGTTCAGAGATCTGCCTGCCTTAGCTTCCCTAGTTCTGGGATTACAGGTGTGCACGGGCACACTGGGCCTGTCTTACATGCATTCGTAGTCATTCTATTTTTTTTTTTTAATTTATTAATTGTGTATACAACATCTGCCTGCATCCCTGCAGGCCAGAAGAGGGCACCAGATCTCATTATAGATGGTTGTGAGCCACCATGTAGTTGCTGGGAATTGAACTCAGGACCTCTGGAAGAACAGTCAGTGCTCTTAACCTCTGAGCCATCTCTCAGCCCCATTCTATTTATTTTTGAATATAATCTCATAACAAAGGCTTTTGGGTTTGCTTATTTGGATTTTCTCTTTGGGTTTGTTTGTTTGTTTTGTTTTTTCAAGACAGGATTTTTCTGTAACAGTCCTAGCTGTCATGGAACTAGCTCTGTAGACCAGGCTGGCCTCAAACTCACTAAGATCTGCCTGCCTCTGCCTCCTGAGTGCTGGAATTAAAGGTATGTGCCATCACCGCCCGGATTTCTCCATTTTTTTTGAGACCTCCAAAGTGGTGGCAGAGGCACTTGCTTGATACCCTGCTTAACTGGTATCCATGTCAACAGTCTCCTTTCGTAAAGAGACCTTACATCATTTGTACTGATTTTACAGTAAATTACACAAGTTCCTAGTACTTGGTAGATTTACTACCAGGTAGTGAGAAAAAAATGTTAATTGCTTGAATATGTTTGTTTAACTTTCTTTTAGTCTGTTTTTTTAAGGGGGGGTAGGTGGTAGAACTCAATTCGTGGTCTAAATTGGCTTCAAATTTGTAAGAACCCTCCTTCCTTAGCTGATCAAGTTCTAGGATTATGCAGAGGTACCCCTTATTAAATTTTGTTTTGAGGGGCTGAAGAGATGGCTCAGTGGTTATAAGCACTGGCTGCTCTTCCAGAGTTCCCGGGTTCAATTTCCAGCACCCACATGAGAGCTCACAACCATCTGTAATTCCAGTCCTAGAGGATCTGACACCCTCATACAGATAGATGCAGTAAAACACCACACATAAAATAGAAAATAAGTCATTTATAAAAATTTTGTTGAGGCAGTGTTTCTGCAAGTTTTCTAGGTTGGTCTCAAACATGGAATCCTCCTGCCTCAGTCTTCCAGATAGCTGACCCTCTGGTTGTACTTGACCTTGTAAAGTTTGCTAAAGTTTGTAAAGCCTTGATCAACAGTATGACATCACAGTGAGGCTTTTGAAACACACCGTCATGGGCTCCATGTCCAACTGAAGGCACAGCCCAGTACTTGCTCAGGTACACAAGATGGTCTCAATCCACAGCACTACAGGGTTGAAAATCAGGCCAGGTATGTTGATATGCCTGTAGTCCCAGCATTTGAGAGGCTATGGCAGAAGGATCTGTGCATTTGAAGCCACATGAGCTAAATAATGATCATGAGGCTAGCCTGAGTTACATAGCCAAACCATCTCTGAAAGTTACCTGGGACTGGGAAGATGCTCAGCAGTTAAGAACACTGACTCTTGGAGAGAACCTGAGTTTGGATCCCAGCACTCACTGGGCAGTGCACAACTGCCTGTTAACTCTGGCCCTAGGATCTACATGTGTCTTTGAGCCTCTGTGTACACGCACACACATTGGTTCACATGCACCACACATGAGTCCATCTTGACAAGCTCTAGCTGCTTCCAGTCATGTTTATGGTCACGCTGACATTTGAAGAGTCCCAGCACTCGGGTGGCAGAGGCAGGCGGATCTCTGTGAGTTCGAGACCAGCCTGGTCTACAAGAGCTAGTTCCAGGACAGGCTCCAAAACCACAGAGAAACCCTGTCTCGAAAAACAAAACAAAACAAAAAAAAGAGTCCGGGGACTCTAGGTGGACAGTAACTGCTTCCTTTTGTGTGTGTCAGATACGAACACAGCAAGCCACTGAAACAGGAGGAAGTGACTGCAACAGACCCGAGTGCGAAACCATCCCTTGCTGCTTCCTCAAGTCTCTCTCCAGGAGTTGGAGCACTTGCTGAAATGAATCCAGGCGAAGCTGAGTCAAGACACCCAAACTTTGCAGCTGTAGGAGCAGGTTCAGAGGACTGGGTGAATGCCATTGAGTTTGTCCCCGGGCAGCCTTACTGTGGCCGTAGTAAGTATTGTGAGGACCCTGTAAGATGCAGTCAAAGGGCTAAGTGACAGGCCACAGGGTCTCAGTTCATTTAACTGTCAACACTTTAGATTGGGTTATCTAAGAGAGATGAAGTAAAAGAATTTTTTTGAACTCTAATAAAAATTAATTCATGTTTAAAAACTGAAATGTCTCCAAATGCTGTCCCCCGCCTGCTCCTGGTGGTGCTGAGATCAAACCCTGGGCTTTGCACACGCTAGACAAATGCTTTACTATTGAGCTAACACTCAGCCCACCGCCAGTCCTTTATTTGGTGTGTTTTTTGACACAGGGTCTCTGGTAGTTCAGATTCCTCAGATAGTGAAGGATGACCTTGAACTCCTAATTCTCCTGGTCCATTCTACCCCACTAACCAATACCTACTAATATTAAGAAATTTACATGCAGAACCAGGCTTGGTGCCACACACCTGTAATACCAGCTTTGGAGAGGTTGGGGTGGGAGGATTAAGTTTAAGGCCAGCCTAGGGTTATGGGGGGGGGGCAGAGAAAATGGAGCTGGAGAGTGGGGGTATATACCTGTAATTCCATCAGTTGATGTTTTGAAATAGGCAGACAGCAAGTTCTAAGCCAGCCTGGGCTGTATAACCCTGTCTCAAAAAACTAAGGGGACAGAGAAAACCTGTCTTAAAAAACCAAAATTAGGGCTTGGGGAGAAAGTAGAAATTTGAGTAGTCTGACTTTAGGTTTCACTGCAGTGGTTCGCTGATACCTTACAGTTGTAGTTCTGTTACCTTAGTTCGTACTTGTGCCTTATGTATTTGGACCTTTACTACCATCTTAAACATTTTCAGCTGCCCCTTCCTGCACTGAAGTACCCCTGCAGGGCTCAGTGACCAAGGAAGAGTCAGAGAAGGAGCCAGCTGCGGTGGAGACAAAGAAGCAGCTTTGCCCCTATGCTGCAGTGGGAGAGTGTCGCTATGGGGAAAACTGTGTGTATCTCCACGGAGACTCCTGTGACATGTGTGGCCTACAGGTCCTGCACCCAATGGATGCTGCCCAGAGGTCACAACACATAAAAGTAAGTGATCAAGGAAGCTTCCACCGAGTCTGAGGAATTCTAAGTGTTGATGTACCCGTGTGATCCCCAGCATTGTGGAGGCCAAGGGCAAGAGGGTCTGAAGAGAGCGGCTATAGCAATGCCTAAAGAATTCTGTTTCCAGAACCTCTGACTATGGGTTTTTAGAAGGTGTGTGGTTTTTTGTTTGTTTGTTAATTTGGTTTTTTTCAGGACAGGGTTTCTCTAGCTTTGGAGCTTGTCCTGGAATTCGCTCCTCCGCCTCCCGAGTGTTGGGATTAAACGTGTGCGCCGCCACCACCTGGTTTGCTTTGTTTTACTCATCCTTTTTTACTAATAATAAATACTTTCTGAGATTTATAATTCTTATAGTTCTTTTGTAACGCATATTTCATTGCTTTTTAATATATTCATAATAATTTCAGTCATTACCATAATTCTAAGGTATTTTCATCCCCAAAGAAACCTTAAACCCACTGAGTCGTCAGCCTCTGCTCTATTTTCCTGGCAACAATGGATCTGCCTTGTTTCTCTGGATACTTTGTCAATTCTAGATTATGTAGCTGAGTCACCTTCAGTGACTGCTCCTCATTTATCAGGATGTTTCCAAGGTTTTCCCTGTTGGAGTCTGTATCAGTACTTCATTTTGTGGTTGCATACTGGGTGTGTGATTTACACATTTGTTTACCTGGTATGTTTCCAGGTGTGTCCATGGAGGCCAGAGGTTAACATTGGGTATCTTCCTCTCTGTTCTCTCCATTAATTTTTGAGGCAAGGTCTCTGCCTTAATCTGGAGCTCACCAATTAGATGACCTGTCTATTCATCTCCATGCTTCTGTGCTGGGATTACAAATGCATGTTGCTGTTTCTGGCTTTCACATGCATACCGAGAGTCCAAACCTAGGAGCCTACGCTTGTATGTACAACGAGCACTCTACTGACCTCCCGACCCCAATCCTGTGTTTTTCTATTTTTAGATGGTTTCATCTTTATACAGATTTCTCTTTTTTCTTAAACTTTTTATTAGGTGTGACTGCTATGATATTATGAACAATTCTGTTCTGTGAGCGTGTGTTTTATCTTAGACTTTTACATTAATTACATTAATTAGCATAGTGGAGAGGGTTGCATGTCAGCACACATGTATAGAGGTCGAAGGGCAGCTTGGATGAACTAAGTGGAGCCCAGAGGTTGAATTTATCCAGTCAGGTCTGGCAGTAGGCGCAGATCTACTAAGCTGTATATCAGGCCGACCCTGCTGTGGTTATCCTTTGGAAGTAGTCACTGGGTCAGCTGACAGTTTTGCTTAGCACTTTGAGTACCTGGCTGGCTTTGATTTGTCATTTTATGTGTATGGGTGTTGAGTGTGTGTGTTTGTCTGTCGGTTCACCACATGCACAGTGTTAACAGAAGCCAGAAGAAGGTGTCAGATCCCCTGGAACAAGAGCTATGGAGCTGCCTTTGTTTTGAGAAGTGAACCAGATCCTTTGCAGGAGCACTCGGTACTCTTAAATGCCAAGGCGTCTCTTGAGCCCCGCACTCAGCTTTCTTCATGTGTGCTCACACATGTCACACCTTTGTAGAAGTCAGAGGACAGTTCCTTTCCCCTCCTTTATGTGTGGGTTGCTAGGCTTGAGTGGCCAGTGCCCTATTTGATTGATAACAGCATCATTCATACAGTCTCTGGGGATGGGTGCTGAGAATTCAGCAGTACAATAACAGGTAACCTTGGAAAGAGAGTCCATCAAGCTAGTCTCAAAGCCACAGAATTGGCAGACCACAGAATAATGATTGCCCACATACGAGTAACTGTTAGGATGGGCTTATGAAGAATAACGAGCACATTCTGATAATAAGTGTAGAGAGGTAGCTTAGCCTTGTTGAGGGTACTTGAGTTAATTCCTGGCACCCACATCTGGTGACTCACAGCCATCTGTAACTGCAGGCCAGGGAGATCCAACTCCTGGCCTCTGGCACCTGTAGTCACTTGCGCACGTGCACACCCACACGCCCACACCTACATAATTAAAAAAAATTCTTTATTAAATGATAAGTATTATATTTCTCTGAAAGTACCAGTGATTATCTAATTGCATGTAAATGGGTGAATTGTGTGGTGTGAATATTCTCAGTAAAGTTGTTAGTGTTTTAATTTTTTAGGGACAATGTCTCTGGTGTTGCCCTTAATGACCTGGTTGGAACAACTCATTGCATAGACGAGGTTAGCTGAACCTCACATTTGTGGGGTTCTTGCTGCTTCTGCATCCTGAATATTGGGGGCCGCAAGTGTGTGCCACTGAGACCACCCTCCTTTACAGGGATTAGGAAATAATGTCCCTGCATAATTGTGACCTAGTACTGTGTGCATCTTCTTTTGTTTTTGTTTCATTTTTTGGTTTTTCAGGACAAGGTTTCTTTGTATAATGGCCTTAACTGTCCTGTAGACCAGGCAGGCGTCAACTCATAGACACCCACCTGCCTCTGCCTCCCAAGTGCTAGGATTAAAGGTGTGCACCACTACTGGTCATCATTTTGTTCTTGTTTGCTTTTGTTTTTTGATTCAGGGTCCCTCTACATAGCCCTGACTGTCCTGGAACTGGGAATGTAGACCAGGCTGTTATACGACTCAGATCTGCCTGCTTTCTGCTCCATGGGTGAAGGGATTACAGGTGTATGCCACCACACTGTGTATCCTTTATTTTTCTTTGGAGACAAGGTCTCATGTAGCATGGGTTTAACCTATAGAACTCTTGCCCTTTCTGCCTTCACCTCCCAAGTATTTAACAATCTTGACAGATGTGAAATGAAGGTTTTAGTCCTAGTTTTTCTATTTTCCATCCAGAAACTGAAACATCTATGAAATTGGTAGGGAATTGGTAGGGTCTTTGGGGGGGAGAACTGTGGGTACCGAGCTTTACAGGTCTGGGTAAAGGGAATTGGATAATTTTTTCGGATCTCAGAAGTTGACCCCACAGTGGCTGCCTGGACCTGTGCTTGTTAACAAACAAATCTTTCTTCCAGGTCAGACTAGAGACAGGCAGGGTAGGCGACTTGACGGTGGGGTCTGAGAACTGCAGCAGCCTGACTGTGCCTCTGTCTCTCCCTTCTTGCAGTCTTGCATTGAGGCCCATGAGAAGGACATGGAGCTCTCTTTTGCTGTGCAGCGCAGCAAGGACATGGTATGTGGGATCTGCATGGAGGTGGTCTATGAGAAAGCCAACCCCAGCGAGCGCCGCTTTGGGATCCTGTCCAACTGCAACCACACCTACTGTCTCAAGTGTATCCGCAAATGGAGAAGTGCTAAGCAATTTGAAAGCAAGATCATAAAGTGAGACTCCTCCCCAATCTTCGTTTGTGCTTTCTATTTTCGGGAAGAATTTAGTATCTTGTGCCAACTTCCAACCAGAAGGACCACATTTAAATGCATGTATTTTATTGTGAACCTGGGCGTTCTAATTGGGATTTCTTCTTTGTACTTCAGCTAGCTGCTAGTTTAGTTGTCTGTCTCTTTTATTTAAATGAGGAAACCCTGTGTATCAGTTAGTAGACTCTTCAGTGTTTTTTGAGGAGATTGTGTTTAATGGATTTGACAGTTAGAGTTCGTGAACAAACCTATCTCGCTCTGAATGTATGTTTCTTGGCCTTTTTTCCATTTCCCTATTCCATTCATTAAGCTAGCCAATAATCCACCATCCTTTAAAAACTGTTCTCATAACTGAACAAAAGCCACACAATCCAAACAGAGCAAAGTTACAAGAAATAAATTTATTTAAACGAAAGAAGGAGTCTGTGTGAAATGTCTTCTTTTTGTTTTTTGTTTTTTCCCCCCCTTTGGTTTTTTTTTTTTTTTTTTAAACTTAAGTTTTGTTTTTGTTTTTTGAACTGGCTAGCCATTGAGTTGATTTATGAAGTTTGTCTTTCCTCCAAAGAAAGGGTCAGTTGTGACTTTGTGGAACCCCTTTCTGAAAATGCTCACGTTCTTGTCAGTTTCTCTAAGTCTCGGTGACACACCAGGGTGTGTCTTGAAGTGCGGGCCTAGAGAGGGGACCGCGCATTGCAGCCTGTTCATTGTTTCCCAGGTCCTGCCCCGAATGCCGGATCACATCTAACTTTGTCATTCCAAGTGAGTACTGGGTGGAGGAGAAAGAAGAGAAGCAGAAACTCATTCAGAAATACAAGGAGGCCATGAGGTATGAGCAGCCTGGCTCCCTTGGCTAGAGCAGTGCTGCGCTGTGTGCTCCTAGCTCCCCCTCCTTTTCTTGACCCCCCAGGCTGCTTTCTTTTGTCACCCATCACTGCTTACCCAGTTTGTCTCTTGCTTTTAACACATCCCTTGGGTGTCTGCCGAGGGACTATTCCAAGGAAGTCTCCTAGCTGAAGCCTAGCTCATTCCGGGTCTTAAGAGTTGCCCGATGAGTTCCTGTGTACTGGGATTCCAGAGGGTTTTCACTCGGTGTTAGTGCTGGCAAGCCGTATACCTTTGTTTAAGGAGGGATGTTTCTCGCCAATGTTTCTAAGAACACGTCTTGGGGGGCTCTGCAGTCTTGGTTCAGCCTCAGTGATAAGTCAATGCAGGCCTGAAGTCCACTGTGAATAAGGGTTGCGATATTTTCCTTTCCAGCAACAAGGCGTGCAGGTATTTTGATGAAGGACGTGGGAGCTGCCCATTTGGAGGGAACTGTTTTTACAAGCATGCGTACCCTGATGGCCGTAGAGAGGAGCCTCAGAGACAGAAAGTGGGAACATCAAGCAGATACCGGGTAACTCTCAACTGTTTTTCTAAACGAGGGGAAATGCCGCACTGTCAGTTGAGCCTGCACATACTGGGGTAGGGGAAGAATGACACTCGGGTCTGGGGGGGAGGCCAGAGTGAAGGAGTCGGACCTCAGAAAACCCAGAAAACCGGGAGGGGTAGGAGAGGAAAGCGCTCAAAGCCCTAAGTCTAACTAGCCAGAGGGAGGCATTGGTAAGGTGGACTAACAGGAGTCTGGTTCGCCGTGCCCTCTGGTCACACGGTTGCCTCATAAGCAACAGGACAGAAGCCACTGCTCGTGCCGCCCTATCATGGCTTGTTTCTTACAGGCCCAACGAAGGAGCCACTTCTGGGAGCTCATTGAGGAGAGAGAGAACAACCCCTTTGACAACGACGAAGAGGAGGTTGTCACCTTTGAGCTGGGCGAGATGTTGCTTATGCTTTTGGCTGCAGGTGGGGACGACGAGCTGACAGACTCTGAGGACGAGTGGGACTTGTTTCACGATGAGCTGGAGGATTTTTATGACTTGGATCTATAGCAGCTTTGCGTGGCGTGGGAACTGGTCTGCGGAGCCTCAGACAGTAGCTGTCCCTGTGCTGTGTGGCAGTGCACGTGGCTCTCCTAGGCAGGCCCCTCCAACTCCAGGTGCTGTCGTCATCACTCCCCAGGGCCTGCTCCTTTACCCTCACCTTCCCCCAAGAGTGTGTTGTTTTCTGTTTCAAAAAGTTACAAAAATAAATCTTCAAGTTAGTTTTTTTGTAACATGAATGTAACTGTCAGACAGTTAGTGTAGGGTTGTTGCGCCATCTGTTTCCAGCCAGGTTGTGTTCACGGATTTTGCACACTCGATTTGAGACCCCAAGTTCAAAGGAAGAAGCACTGAGTATGCTTTGGGGGTCCAAGGATGGGGCAATTGGGAAAAAGGGGACCTGAGACGGCAAGTTGCTCTCTGCGCTAGATTAGGAGGGCTCCTGGTGGTTCCTGTGAGAGCTGCACCTTGGTGGTTTATGTCTGTTCCCTGCCCTGGAATCCCCATCACCCGTGCTTGTCCTGTGGTTTGGGGCTCTTGTTTAATTGCACGCAAGAAATACTACTGAGTAACCAGAACCAGGTGCAAACGTGTTAAGGCTAACGTGAGAAACGGAGGTGGCAGGTAACTTGGTGTTGAGCGTGATCGAGCACATGAGCAGCTTCCCATCTGTGCATAGGTGCAGTATTCTTAGCCTTAGTGAACAGAGATGGATTAGTGGTTTCAGCCGTGTGTGGCAGGTAGGTCGTAAAGGACCAAGAGTGTGTCAGTAGTTGGTAACATAGCAGTGATAGTGGCTCTGTATGCTAGAGACGCGGATCATCTGTAGAGGGTAAGTGACCTGCTTCTCCCCTTAGCAGCACAAGCTGGGTCTTGGACACACCATTGTATTGAATGTTTTATGGTCTAGCCTTTTCAGTTGAGGCGCTTTTTGGAAAAACCTTTGTCCTTGTTTGAGGGTTCTGTTGTTTGGATCTGTGTTTGCTTTGTGGGTATCTGCCTCGTTTCCATCATTGAAAGTAGACAGGTGAATTCCAAAATGAGGTGTTGATGATACTAGAATTCTTTGCTGTAGTAATAACCCCTCTCACTAAAGGAAGAGGAGGGCATGGCTACCTGCAAGACAAGCAGAAGCTAAGTTGCTAGAATCCCTTGCTGGGATTTCACCTTTGCCTTTTGTTGCTGTTTCCGGAAATAACTTGATGCTCGGATTTGTCCCTCTGCCTTGCTTCCCTGGGACCCACCCGGTCTTTCACTTAAGAAAAGCAAGTCATCGTTGCAGAGGTCTCTGTATTTTGCAGCTGCCCTTTTGTAAGAAGCACTTTTCCCAAATAAAACAATTTAAAAAAATTGCCTTCTTGCTTTTCTAATGACCTGTTTTCAAAACCACAGATAACTGTCAGCTTTTGAGTCTCAGTCGTCTCGATTGGCTGGGAAAAGTGGGTCTCCTTTTTAAGTCGCCTCGTGCCCGAGAACCTGAAGGCACCTGTGTGCTGGCTGCCATCAGCCAGCTGTCTACTCTTGTAGGATCCGCAAAGTCACCGTCTCCCTCCTGGTACCGCGTGCTTGTAGTGGAGCCTGGCTCGGGCTCCTAAGCAAGACCAGCCGGAGGGTTGGGAATCTGAAGTGGTTCCTTGGTGGGTTTTTTTTTTTGTTTCTTCAAGGCAGGATTTCTCTGTGTAACAGCTCTGGTTGTCCTGGAACTCACTCTGTAGACCCAACTGACTTCGAACATCAGACATCTGCCTGCCTCTGCCTCCAGAATGCTGGGATCAAAAGCGTGCACCACCACTGCCCGCCGCATGGATGTTTTGCTTGCGTTTATATCTGTGAGCCAGTGCGGGTGCTGGGAATTGCACCCAGGTCCTCTGGAAGAACAGGCAGTGCCAGTAACTGTCAAGCTATCGCTCCAGCCTCACTGTGTCACCTTGACTTGCTCAGAACTCCGATGTTTCTGCCTCCAGAGTGCCGAGATTCAAGGCACATGCCACCATTCCCAGTTTGTCATAACAGTGTCTCATGGATCCCAGTGTTGTCAAGGGTGGCTTTGAACTAAATCCTGGTCCTCTTCTCTGTGCACCCAAGTACCACTCTACACAGTTATGCAGGATTTGACTGAACCCACGGCTGTGGTGCTAGGCACAACTGACATCAAATTAACTTTTGAGGCAAGGCCTCCTTGTCCCAGAGGTGATACTCCTTCAACTCTAAGTGTCCCAACCAAATTTTCTTTTAATTTTTAGATGTATTTATTGTATGTGTGAAGGTTTGGTTTGAATATCCATATATATGTGTGGTACCTGCAGAGGTCAGAAGATGGTGGGGGTATTGGATCCCCTGGAAGTGGAGTTGAAGGTGGGGTGCTGGGACTTGAACCCAGTACTCTGCAAGAAAATAAAAGCCATGGGACACCTCATTTTGTTTGAGAACGGATCTCACTGAAGCTCGTGTAGGCTGGACTACCCTTGGCAGAGTACTGCCTAGCTCTGTCTCGCAAGTAAAGGTGTGTGCCACCATGGCTAATTGTTATTTAAAATGGAGGTGCTAGGAATCGAACCTGGGTACATGGAAGAGCGGTCTAGTGCTTTTACCCACTGAGCCATCTCTCCAGCTCCATTGTACCTCAACATTATTTTCCAGCACACAGCCAATGTCTCTAGCCCACCTTCACATACCCCATTTTTTTTAAAGGCTAAAGTTCAGGGATGGAGAGATGCCTCAGTGGTTAGCACGTTATTCCCTTTGGTTCCCAGCTCCCATGTTGGGCAGGTCATAAGTGCCTGTACTTGCAGCTCCAGGGGATCCAGGGCTATGGACAGCTGTTCTCAGTGTACACTAACCCACATACAGACACAAACGCATAAGTAAAATCATGAGGGGGGCTGGAGGTCCTGAGTAAAATTCCCAGCCCCCACATGGTGGCTCTCAACCATCTAATCTGGTGCCCTCTTCTGGCCAGGCAGGCAGAACACTGTACGTAAGTAAACCTTTAAAAAAAATTCAATCTCCAGTACTATAAAAGAAAATGCTTAGTGAAAAGGCACGAAGACTATAGCAGAGGTCTGGAGGTGGGGGGGAGGCTTGATGATGGAGATATAGGTGGAGGTATGGAACATTTTAACCATTGCTGCTCTTCAGCTTCTCATTCTTGTGGCCTTAGACTGAGGAAGGAGTTAAGTTCATAAGCATGAAGTTGGCGGACATTTGGTCACACTGAACCACAAGTTTGTATTTGTTGCCCTGCTCTTACATCTAGTATTAACCCATTTCCAGTATTTTATATTTTACTACGAAGTATATGGCCTACTGGCAAGGTTCCTACATCTGTCTCCGGTGGGGCTACATGGCTTCTCAACTCCACCTCCTTTCTCCCAGCATTCTGCCTAGTTTCCCCCCTAGCTAAGTTCTGCTCTGCGTTATCAGGCCAAGCCAGTTTTCTTTACTAATTAACCAATCATATTCACAGCATACAGAGGGGAATCCCATATCAGCTGAGTTAGCAACTAGTTCCAGAAAGTAATCAGAGGGCACCTGGGCACTGGAAGGAGTGGGAACCATTTGGAGTGAGTTTTGTTTTGATGAGCAGAAGGGCGCTCTCTGGGAGACACCAGCAAGGAGAGAAGCTTAGGTAGTTGCTACTCAACCTCTGAGCTAACAGGTTTTCACCCCAGCCTTTGAATCCTAAGAGATCTAAGTTAGAGCTACCTTTAGCAGGCAGAGCTCCTGCCCTGCGGAAACAGAATTCCCACCCGGGTGTAGCCTGCACACCTGTGCCTGCTGCCAGAGAAGCAGGCCGGTAACTGCAGAGTTGGAATTGGCTGAAATAGCAGTAGATTAAGGTGCAACCACTGTATTGAAGTTAAACAATACTTGTGTGTAGTGCTCCTATGTAAATAAGACAGCAGTCACACACAAATCATGTAGCTTCAGTCAGAAACCAAGGTCCTTATCTGAATAAATCCCCCTTTTCCATGGCAGTAAGTTTTGTGGAAAGCGGTTATGCCCCCACCCTCACTCATGAAGAGAATGCCCAATTGGGACATGGAACTATGGGAACAAAAGCTGGGTTTGATAGTTGCCAAGGTTACAGAATGAAGTCTTTTTTTTTTTTTAGATTTATTATGTATGCAACATTCTGCCTCCATGTATGCCCACACACCAGAGGAGGGCGCCAGATCTCATTTCAGATGGTTGTGAGCCACCATGTGGTTGCTGGGAATTGAACACAGGACCTCTGGAAGAGCAGACGGTGCTCTAAACCACTGAGCCATCTCTCCAGCCCCCCAGAATGAAGTCTTGTCTCAAAGTGAAAACCTGTAGCAAAAAGGAAACCAGATTGGAGAAATGAGTCCACCATTAAGAGAATTTGTTCTTCTTGATAACCTGGGTTCAGTTCTAATCCGTCCATGGTGGCTCTTCACCATCCCTAACTAGTTTTTGGAAACCAAACACCCTCTTCTGATCTTGTCAAGCCCCAAGCACACACAAGGCACACAGACGTACATACATGTAGGCAAAACACTCTGACATGACAGTTCTGTATTCTGGGAAGATGGTAAACAAACGGGTCAAAGTCAGTGTGGTATCCAACCTGCTTTGAGAAATCAGAATGTGTGTTGACCTTCAAATTTCTGGAGACTCTTCAGGGGTTTTTTGTTTGTTTCTTTTTGGGGGGAAGGTTGTTTTGGTTTTTTGAGACAGGGTTTCTCTAGGTTTTTTTTTTTTTTTTTTTCCAAGACAGGGTTTCTCCGTAGTTTTTGGTTCCTGTCCTGGAACTAGCTTTTATAGACCTGGCTGGCCTCAAACTCACAGAGATTTATCTGCCTGCCTCTGCCTCTGAGTGCTAGGGTTTTGTTACTGTTACTTCTCTCTCTGACTCACACACACAAGGTTTCACTGTGTAGCTCTGGCTGGCCTTGAATTAGCAGATTTGCCTGCCTCTGCCTCCCAAGTGCTGGGATTGAAGGTGTGCATCACCACACCTAACAGTCTGGCCAGCTCAGTTTAAGTGTGCGTCTGTCTTCAGCTTTATGCTTGGGTTGCCTAGACTACAGATGCTCACTCACTCAGTACGTCCTCTGTTACAGACCACAGGTAATGGGAATTTCTGGATCAAAGGTAATTTCTCCTTTCATTAGTCTCTACAAGGGCTGGAGAGATGACTCAGTGGTTGGGAGCACTAGCTGTTCTTCCAGAGGACCCGGGTTCAATTCCCAACACCCACATGGCAGCTCACAACTGTCTGGAATACCAATTCCAGGGCATCTGACACCCTCACACAGACATACATTCAGGCAAAACAACAAAGCATAGAAAAAAATCATTTATGAAAAATAAACTCTACAAATTGTAAATAAAGGGGAAAGTCACAGCCATGGGAGAGAACTGCTCTAGCCATTCCTCCAGGTAAATGTTGACTTTTTAAAGACTACATTGTTTTTTTTTTTTTTTTACTGAATTTGTGTGCGTGTGCATGTGTGCTTGTACAAGAGAGTCTGTTATCTCCTCGGGACAGAACTCAGCTCATCCATCAGTCATGGTAGGTGAGCCACGTCACCAGCTCAAATGTTGGTTCTTGAGACTGTTTAGTGTCCAGTCCATGGTGGAGGATGAGATCAAGTTCTCAGGTGTGAGGAACGACATCTTCTTCATTCACAGTTCACACAACATAGCTTCACCGGCCCAACGAACCGTATTAGATGGTATTTTGACAGGCCACTCACCATTGTCAAAGCCAAGATTTCTCAAGGTAGGCGCTGATGCCCCTCCCTCTCGCATGTTCTGCTTCCCATCATTAGAAAACTGGAGACCCCACTTGCTACGCCACAGCCGCCTCAGGGACAATTTATGAGCTATGAAATATTAACAGGTATGTATACCCCTGGACAATAAATACTGAAAGAAGCGTTTTATATCTTTATTTTTTCAAAACACCCTTTTGGGATTTTTTATTTTTTTTTGAGACAGGGTTTCTCCGTAGCTTTTGTTTTCTGTCCTGGAACTAGCTCTTGTAGACCAGGCTGGTCTCGAACTCACAGAGATCCACCTGTCTCTGCCTCCCGAGTGCTGGGATTAAAGGCGTGCGCCACCACCGCCCAGCCCCTTTTGGGATCTTGATTTCATATAATTTTCTGGTTGCTACCTATACAATATTGTGGGTGTGTGAAAATGGCCATAATTCTATTCTACACAGCCTGTCCAGTGCTGAGTCAGGGTCAAGTCCACTGGAAATGGTTTACAGGGCAGTCAGAAGCCTAATGAGCTTTGCGAAAGCCCGCCTCGCTCTTTGTAGCAGGCAAGACTTTTGTGCATACAGTTCACTGAAACCCTCCAGTCTATACAGTTCCAAGTG